GTATTTTAGCTGAAGTAGGAATGTAAGTGGATAATTATTTCCTTTTTTCGACGAGTGTGTTTGATAAAAAGAACCCTCCAAAGCTATCTTCATAGTCACAAATAAACAAGTTTTTAACAATTTGAGTTTTATTAAACCATAATGTAGAGATTCTATTTTTTTAGTTAATACTGAATCTCCCTTAAGAAGTTGAGAGAGGACTTTGCTACTACAAGAGGTGTCTTCAATTAAAGTTTCTTAACTAGAAAATATAGAAAGGAAAGTAATAAGGGGATGGCCTCTAAGATAGTTGGCAAAGGTTACAACTACATGAACACAACTAACATAAGCTGTTCATTTGATTGATGGCATCCCCCATATTTTAGGAAGTGGGATTGCCTTGCTCACTCATTAAGTGCAATGGAGAGAAGGGTGTTGTCCACATTGTGATAAAACCTCCAAACACTTCTCATTCATGAACTATGTCATCTCTTAATAACCCTTCTAGGAAGCTCACTCATATGATCTAAAGTATCATTTCATTGGTGCATGAATGAGGCCTTACTAATGAGTGTGCTAGTATATTGAGAGGATTACTCCCTTGATAGTGCTAGTATTTTGTATTATTTAATATTGTCTTTCTTTGAGGGTTCCAATCACCACCTTAGGTGGCAACCTAAGAGATGGCATCGATCGTGGGCTACCATCATTGTGATTTTACTATCCATTAAGGGAAAGTCAGTCTGAGGTCAACTTCTTATAATTATATAAAAATAAATGGGTTGATATTATTTTAGCTAGTCGTATAACAGAAGAGTTGTCATACTCCAAAATCTAATTAGGAGACTTATCACACCCCAAAATTTAATTTGGAAGAATTATCATATTAAAAATTATTCTTATAAAAAAGTGTATTTCTTTTTATACATTTATATTACAAAGGTTTTTTTTTTTAATTTTTAAATATATTTAATATTAGTATATCTACATCTACATATATAAAAGATTATTTGAGTTTTTTAACCAACTTTATATTGAGTGTTAATATGAGTTTGTTCACAAGTCTTATTTGAGATAACTATGCATTCTTTTTCATAAATTTTATTTATTATATAATTTATATTATGTTTAAATTATTTATATTTATTATATCATAATTATTGATATATCATCAAAAGTTTATCTAGACCGGGCACGAATCTCAATGCAAAATCAAGTTGGAAACTTCCGAAATTAAAATTGGGACCATCCCAACTCCGATTTCAGCAAACTTATAGTCAAAATGAGTGTCTCGAAAATACGAACCCAACGACACCAAATTCGACTCAATCCGAGCCCAAATGAGTTCAAATCGAGGGTCTGAAGCTCTGTTGGAAGGTTCAAACCACTATTTGGGTTACCAAACGGTTTCTAAACATGACAAACTTATAGTCGAATCGAGCGGCTCGATGAGACGAATCCAACGAGCCCAAGATCATTGAATTCCAACATCACTAAGACATTCAAATGTCCATCAAACGGTTCATGATCAAGGGATTCAACATCAGCCATCCATCAAACCACTCCCCCATTTACCCTTGATCTCTCACCTATTTACGGGCCATGCCACTCTAAAAATCTATAAATAGACCCCTCATTTCTCTTGAGAGGGGGACCGAAGAAAGAAGAGAAGAAGAGAAGAGAAGGAAGAAGCTCCTCCTCGACCACCGCCAGAGTTTCGCCGGACCACCGCCAGACCTTCGTTGGACCACCACTTGAGGCCCTCACCTCCGTCAGACCACCGCCTGACATCGTTGCCCCACCGGACCACCTCTGGAGGCCCTCACCTCTGCCGGACCACCACTTGAGGCCCTCACCTCCATCGGACCTCCACTTGAGGCCCTCGCCTTCCTCGACCACCGCCGAACTTCCACCAGACCACCACTTGAGGTCCTCACTTTCCCGGACCACCACTTGATGCTGTTGCTCCGCCAGACCATCACTTGTGGCCCGGACTTCCACCAGACCACCTGAGACCCGAACTTCTGTCGGACCACCACTTAAGGCTATGTGCTCCACCAGAACATCATGTGAGGCCCAAACTTTTGCCGGACCACTACTTGAGGCCTTGAGCTCCACCAGGCCACCACTTGATGCCCAGAGTTCTCCCAGAATACTACTGGCCTCCATCATTAGACAAAGGCCTTTCTAACCCGGGAGGCGGTGCCCGCAAGCAACGGCGGTTGGCCGGTTCGGCCGTCCAATCTTGTCCGGGCCCTATTTTTGGCCCGGACGGTCCAAATTTGATGTTTTTGGGGTCTCCGGACACGTTTTTCAACATTCTGGACTCAATTTTGATACTTACAAAGCTCAACTGGGTATCTATGATCAAGTTTGAGCAAGATTTTAATTTTTTGAACATAATTTATGCTATTCGGCCAATGTGAAATGTCGGCAAATATATTTTCGGACTCTTGGAGCTTCGACGTCCGAAAATAGGGGGGCAATTGATATATCATCAAAAAATTATCTTGATCGGGCACGAATCTCGATGCAAAATCAAGTTGGAAACTTCCAAAATTAAAATTGGGACCATCTGAACTCCGATTTTAGCAAACTTATAGTCGAACTAAGCGTATAGGAAATACGAACCCAACGACACCAAATTCGACTCAATCCAAGCCCAAATGTGTTCAAATCAAGGGCCCAAAGCTCTGTTGGAAGGTTCAAACTACTATTTGGGTTACCAAACGGTTTCCAAACATGACAAGATTATAGTCGAATCGAGCGGCTCGACGAGACAAATCCAACGAGCCTAAGATCATTGAATTCTGACATCACTAAGACATTCAAATGTCCATCAAAAAGTTCATGATCAAGGGATTCAACATCAGCCGTCCATCAAACCACTCCTCATTTACCCTTGATCTCTCCCTATTTACGGGTCATGCCACTCTAAAAATCTATAAATAGACCCCTCATTTCTCTTGAGAGGGGGATCGAAGCAAGAAGAGAAGAAGAGAAGAGAAGGAAGAAGCTCCTCCTCAACCACCGCCGGAGTTTCTCCGTACCACCGTCGGACCTTCGCCGGACCACCACTTGAGGCCCTCACTTCTGTCGGACCACCGCCTGCCGTCGTTGCCCCGCCGGACCACAACTGGAGGCCCTCAGCTCCACCGGACCACCTCTTGAGGCTCTCACCTCCGCCGAACCTCCACTTGAGGCCCTCGCCTTCCTCGACCACTGCCGGACTTCTGCCGGACCACCACTTGAGGCCCTCACCTTCGCCGGACAACCACTTGACGTCGTTGCTCCGCCGGACTATCACTTGAGACTCGGACTTCCACCAGACCACCACCTGAGGCCCGGACTTTTGCCGGACCACCACTTCAGGCCCTGTGCTCCACCAGAACATCATCTGAGGCCCAAACTTCCACCAAACCACTACTTGAGGCCTTGAGCTCCACCAGGCCACCACTTGATGCCCAGAGTTCTCCCAGAATACTTGTGGCCTCCATATAAACCTAGACAACAATCTTTCTGACCCTAGTTTCCTACAACCTACGGTTCTTCTGACCTCTGTCACATACTATGGTCCATCCGACCTCCATCACTAGACAACTGTCTTTCTGGCCGTGATCTCCTGCCGACTACGGTCCTTCTGACCTCCGTCACCTACTATGGTCTATCCGACCTCCATCATTAGACAACGGTCTATTCTGACCCTGATCTCCTGCCGGCTACGGTCCTTCTGACCTCCGTCACCACCTACTATGGTCCATCCAACCTCCATCACTAGACAATGGTCTTTCTGACCCCGATCTCTTGCCGACTATGGTCCTTCCGACCTCCGTCGCCTAATATGGTCCTTCCGACCTCGATCACCAGACAACAATCTTTCCGTCCTCCATCCTATCGACTATGGTCGTGCCGACACAACAAACACATCTATTATAACTCCCACCATGTAATGCGCTCTATATGACATACATTTGTAACATCAAGCCAAGGCCTTCTCTCTAAGAAGGGCCTTATTTGTAATCGACTGCAAATACTAGTGGATTCATTCAAACTGGGCCAGGCCTCATGATTTTTCCCACTTTTTTATGGGTTTCCACGTAAAAACTCTGGTGTCTCGTACAATGCTAAGATGTTAAACTATATATGTCTCTACCGTCGCGAATACTCCAGGATACAACAATTATAATCTTGAATCTCTACTTCTTTCGATGATTTTTAAAATCTTTATAATATATTTAATATGAACATTACAAGTTGCTAACGGTTTAAACCGGTTCTCATTTGAGATCGTTATTATGTTTTCATTAATTTAATACATAACAGTATTGGTGGCCATTATTATATGATCTAGGAAACTTATTATGGGATTTCCATGAATTTATAATTTATGTTCATTATTTAATGCTACAGTAAATATATTCCATCTTGATAAATGGCCAATATTCATTATTCTTCATAACTTTACAATCAAGAATACTAACATATTTTATGTTTAAATATCTTAATAAATTTCATTCAAATTACCTAAAGAATATTAATATAACAAATTCACAAGGAATTGTTCATAGCTCCCCAACAAATTAAACTCCTAAACTCCCAAATTTTAATATACTTTAATTATATTTTATATTAATATTTTTCAAGTTCCAGAGTCGAGCAAAGGTTAGCTCAAATTTGACTCATTAGCACTTTAAACTTGACTTACGAGCTATTTATCAAATAGAGCCGAGGTTAGCTCAAACTTGACTTGTTAGCTCTTTGAGCTCGACTTACGAGATATTTATCAAGATGAGTTGAGGCTAGCTCAAGTTTAGCTCGTTAGCTTTTCAAACAGACTCTTGAGTAAGCTTGACTCACTTACACCCCCGACTGCCACAATTATAAAAAATATATTTTTAATATATATAGTTTATTTCTTATAAATAAAAATAAATAGTAAAAAAATAAAAATGATCTCTAAATATAGAAGTCATTTTTTTATTCCCAATAGCATTCCATTTATTTGTCTCATGTACCTTTGTAGCACTCAGCCTTTATACCCACCCAATACCCAACTACTCCTCTTTCTCTCTTTATCTCTGTCTCTCTCTCCCTCTCTGCTCGCAGACTCGCAGAGATGTCTCCGAGCGTCGGTGCCGACCATCTGCAAATAACCCAGAACGAGAAATTCTACTCGAGGGTCCTCTCCAAGGAAAACTCGGCCAAAAACCCCTCCTTCCGAGTCTACTACGGCGTCGCCTCCGGCTCTGTCCCCTTCCTCTGGGAATCCCAACCAGGCACCCCTAAACACCCCATGGCCGACTCCACACTCCCCCCTCTCACCCCTCCTCCTTCCTACTACACCTCCTCCAATAAAAAGACGAACTTTATAAAATCCCATAAGCAAAACCTCTTCCAAGCCATGCTCCCACGGCTCAGAAAGCCTCACACTCCTCCGCCGCAGCCACCTCCGCCGTCAGCTTCTTCCTCTTCAGCATCTCACCGAAGATATCGGTCTTCGTCAAGCACTATATCTTCTTTCTCGTCTAACTCGAGGGTCGACGAAGAAGAGCACGAAGAGGGGCTTTCGCCTACTTCGACGCTCTGCTTCGGAGAGCGGCGAGGCTGCTTCTACATGGCCGGCATGAAAAATGCTTTGCTTTCGATTGTTGGGAATGGATCATCTGCGTGAGATGTTTGGGTCAGTTTGTGATGATTTTAATTCTTCTGTTTGATCTATTTAGAGGCTTCAAAATCGTAATTAACTAAGTGCTTGAAATAATTTATATTTCGCTATGTGGAAGACCGTTTGGTGTTTATGTACTGCTACTACCTCGCCCTGTTATCAAATGATAATTGCCGGCTTCTCACACTTAGCTCATCAATCAATCAAGCTTTCTGATGTACAATAAGTGAATAAAATTTGGAGCTTTTTTCCTTGTCCAAACCAATTATGTTGTGTGAGATTTGAGAGAAATTATTCTAGGGGATCATCGGATCATCCAGAGGCGAATCAGAATCCGGCACATCATTCAGTACACAGTCGAGATACACAGCAAAAAGGTAATGTGATATGTTCTGATTCGCCTTTGAATATTGTCTGGCGACCGCACAAAATAATTTCTCAAGATTTGATGATATGAATCTCTTAGGACTTTGGGCTTTATTTGGTACTATTTTTTAAAGAAATTTTAAGTATAAAAATTTTTAGTACAAAAATTTTTTGTACTTAAAATTTAATTTTTAGAGAAAAGTCATCCCAAAATGTTTTTTTTTTTCTTTTTTTTGAAAATAATGTTTGAAGGATTTGAGATTTTGTGTTAGAATGCGTTGAGTAGAATTGATATTGTCAAGTGGTGAATGGCGTCAGCATGTTCTTCTTCAGTAGTTAATGTTCTATGATGTTGCTTGAAATCTCTGTTACTTTCTCTCTCCTTCGGTACAAGTGGGGGCCACGTGTTGGCCTGCTTGGAAAATCTAAAACACGAGAGCTATGTACTAAAAACACATGCGTCAAATTTACTTTGTATAATAGTAAATGGATGAATTATTGTGTGTGGATATAGTTCAATGAAAATATGTCATGTCACCCGCTACTAAGTACTACGGCTCGCTAATGCTTTGTATCAAACTTGGTACTGGATGACGTGACCGCACCTGATTCGACTTTGGACGATAAGCTATATCCGGTGTCCGCACAGAATAATCTATCTAGTAAATGAGCCTAATCTTTAGTCGAATTTTATTTGAGCTCGAGCTAAAATCTTGAAATCATCTTGATGTGGGTTTGTCAGCATCGGTGGGAGCTTATTGGAGATGACATTGATGAAAATGGACAGGAGAAGTGAGGATAACGATCATCCGACTTGTAACATGAGCTTGCTAGAGAAAGCTTTGCTATAACCAATCAAGAAATCTTCACGGGAGTTTGCTGGAGAAGTCATTGATGGGACCAACATAATTTGAAGAAGGAGATGATTCCTCAAATGGGACTAGCAGCCGATTTAAATTAGACGAGTATTGCCAAATCTGAACTCAAGCTTGTATGATATATGAGTTGCAACCTGAGCATAAGATCTATCTCGCAATTAGATAAGATCAACTCACGAGTTCAATAATGAGTCGAGTTTGTAGATTAGTTTTATCTCCTCTAGTTATCATGATACATGAGAAGATCTTAATCTACAAAATATTTATGAGAAAAGTTAGTTGGAGGGGATCATTGAATGGTACATTAGAACCTAAGAAATTTAATGTCAACCTAACCAAGACTTTGTGCTTGGATCTCTGTGTGTCCATGCAACTGTATGCGCAAGAGTGGAATTCGAATGGCCGAGAAAATTAATTGGATAGAAAGCATATAAGGTCAACCAAATTTTGAGTGACCTGCCTTCTAGATGAATTGTTTATGGAATTAAAATTATTCAATAAAATAAGTAATTAAAGGTGCAAAGAAGTAATAGAATGTAAAATAATGTGGGGTTACAAAGCTCTTTTTGGTCTGTTGGTTGGGTGTTTTTATTATCAACTAAGAAATCTTGAGTTTGAGTCAGACGTATATGTTGTGTGTGTGAATCCGGATGCTATCCTTTAATTCTCACAAAAAAAAAAGGTGGTGGTTTGAGAAAGGGAAAATGTTGGTCGTCGCTAGGATGGCACCATGTTACATCGAAAAGAAATGGAAAGTTTTTGGATCTAGACAGTTTCAAAGTGAATCATATTTGGTCCCTCGTAAAATTCAAGAAAAAAAACTTTGAAATATATGTTCAATTTATGTTCACTGACTATATATTTCTTCTGTACGAGCAAGATACTATCATCCTCTAATATAATAAAATCTACTCAATGTTAATTTATTTTAAGATTGATATGTTACAAAAAATCACATTGATCAAGCATGAATCTCGATGCAAACACAAGTTCAAAACTTCTAAATTAAAATTCGGCACCATCCAAACTCCAATTTTAGCAAGCTTATACTCAAATTGATAATCTTGAGGAGATGAACTCAACGACACCAAAATCAATCCAATTTAAGCCCAAATGAGCTCAAATCAAATGATCAAAGTCAAATGGAAAGTTTTAAAACATTAATTAGATGATCAAATGATATCCAAATATGACACGCTTATAGTCGAATCTAGTGACTAGATAAGACAAATCCAACGAGCCCAAGATCACTCAACTCTAACATCATTAAACCACTCAAATGCTAAATAACTTCTTCATAATCAAGGGAACTAATATCAGCCGTTTGATTGAACACTCCCAACATGCCCTTGATTTTCTCATAATTACTAGTCATCCCACTCCCAAAAAACTATAAATAGCACTCAATTCTTAACATGATGAGGGAGGAGAAGAGGAGAAAGCTTAAGAGCTATCTTGCACTCTCCATCCAACACTGTCACTACCAGAGTTCTTGCCGACCTCCGTAGCCTGCCAACAACGATTTTTTCAACCACAGTCACCCGTCGACTATGTTCCATCTAACCATTGTCGTTCGCCAACTACGACCACTCTAACCACCATTGTCCGTTGACTATGATCCATCTGACCACCGTCACCTGCCAACTAAAATCTGTATAACCACTGTCGCCTACCAACTATGATCCATCCAACCACCATTGCCCGTCAACTATGATCTCTCTGACCACCTTTACCCGCCAACTACGGTCCTTCTAACCTCCATAGCCTATAAACTACGATCCTTCTGATTTAAAAAAAACGCCAACACTCTCTTAAGAACAACTGTCATGTTGTAAAATGCTATATATAATGTGCACTTGCTACATTGAGCCAGCACCCTCCTCATAGAAAGGGTATTATCTATAATCAACCATCAATATAGTAGATTCATTCAAACTAGGCCAGACCCCTTGGTTTTTTTCATTTTTAGAGTTTTTCACATAAAAATCTTGGTATCTCTTATGAATGTTGCACCCCTATTCTAATCTGTTTTTGTGCAGGATCTTCGTATAAAATTAAAACACTAAACTCTACATCTCTTTACCGTTGGGAATATTCCAGGACACAACAAAGATAATTAATTTTATATATGATATTACTCTTTTAATACCCCACTATGATAGATCTGTTTATCTCAGAACTCTCTTTTCAAAGAGAGGAAATTGATCCACATTGATAGGATATTATCTTCATTTCTTAAGAGTTCAAATAAGAGGGTACACATGGACAAATTATTTATACTCATGTGAGTCAAGCTATTTAAATCAATAATATGGAATGTGTTGATCATCAATAAAAACTTGAATAATGGCTACCACTATTGAACCACTAGTGGTTGTCTGTGCCATCTTAAATTCGAGTAGACCAATTGATTCATCCCAACTTTAGCACCATTTTTATCTTACTTGTTCATCAAAAGTTGCTATCACCATCATCAACGATTAATAACTTTCAAAAAAAAAAAAAAAGGGTTGAAAACCTCATTATAAAACTCATAAATAAGCCCTCTTGCTATTCATTTGGTGGGAAATTTAACCCAAGTTTTAAATGCAATCTTGATCCTCTTAGAAATACTAAGAATTCACTTCATCCTTTAAAAGCTTGCACCATAAATACCTCGACATACATATCCACCATGAACTTGCACAACAAATAGTTCCAAGAACACTGTGACACATTACTATCATCTATGTCTCTTTTAAAACTGTGTCATAGCTATGTTTGGGCACATCATGACACTCATTTGTTGCCTATTCCACTTAAGAATTTAGACCCCAATAGTGCATGGATATGCCACAACCCTCACCCTCATCTAACAATCACAACATAAAAGAAACCTTTCTTCATAAGCAATTAATTTTTTTCTTCATTAAACCATCTAAATGGACTTGACAACATGTAGACTGGATTTCTTATGTCAGGAGGAAGAAAGAGTAAAATGAATAGGATGTTTGCATTAAACTTAGCACTAGCAAGTAGCAAGAGCAAGTGGGCTTCTCATTCCTTTTTATATTAAATAAAAAGTATACTGATCAAAATGATTACACTGATAAAAAAATGCTTCAGCATAAAAAGAGTGGCTTCATCATTGCTCTCTTACAAGTAAATAGTAAGTGATGGAGACAACTCTGCATTTCATCAAAGCCAGAAAATGCCTTCGAAGTACTTAGAAATTGCTGATTGAAGCAGTAATGCAGACGCAGGTGGTGTTAATGGGCGAGACAAACTCATTTTCGAAATTAATAGGGCGAGCAGAATCAATGAATGGGCGGGTCACAATAATGGTGGGCCAAACCATCTATTTCACCGTCTGAAATGGGCTCAGCCATCTACTGCAAACCGGTAGGATGGGTACCACTAACAATTAATTTCTTTTTTTTGCATTTATTCTACATTCATTTCAGAGGCTTTGGAATAGACTGTAGAGTATAAACTCGAGGCTCTTATTTCGCTCATCAAAAGCTTCTCACCTAATTTGTTGAAGGAGATAGAGAGAGAGTAGAGAGAGAAAGGGAGAGAGAGTTAGAGAGGGGGAAGTGGGCAGGTGGAGTATTTATTAATAAGAGCACTGGAGGAGCTGTTTTGCTTCTCAGAGATGAGTGGTGGCAGCTCTCTTGTAACTTGTGAAACCAGGGGGTTAGATGAAAATTATGATAGATGCTTTTTTAATATATATGTAAATATGAATTGAAATTTATTGTAAATTTTGAAAATAGGAGGATTAATTATATAAATTATAAAAAGTTTAAGGATATGTATAAAATTATTTTTTAAATAATTATATGATGCATGAAATGCAAATTGATGTAACAATTTCCAAATAAGATGATGATTTGCTTCCTATATATTAACATTTATTAATTATATGTAATATTAATAAGAGATACAAGTGCCATAAGATTTCGCATGTCTCCTGTTGGATTTTTTTTTTAAAAAAAATTCATATATTTTAACATGAAAATTTCAAGATGATGTAGGGACCAAATAAAGTATTTCATTATCTGTTAGATGAAAATTTCAATATTTTAGTTTGTGAAAACAAATCTTCATACATTTTTAAAAAATGTCATATCACAAGACAAAATCAATTCGTAAACTTTCTTATTGTTTCTTAAATCTCAGCTTTTTAGCATAAAAATTTTATTTTTTTACTTAAAAACAACTTTAAGAAGTAGTTAAAAAGTCATCTCAAACGAAACCTAAGATGACATCCATAGAATTGTGTATCAGGTAAGCAGTAAAATACTGTCATCATCATCAAGATTATCTGCTTAATGTCAATTATGTTCTAAGCAAATCTGTGTGCGAAATCAAGTCAAGAGAATAAGAATCGTTGTTGACTACTTTAGCCTTGTAACGAGAAAACCATAATTTACGTTGAGGTTATGACATCATATTACAGAAGTAACAGCAAATATTATAACAACAACACAATCGTTGCAAGGTCCCAAGGCTGGATGAAAAAAATAGAAGATTGTATATTGAATTCAACTTAAGGAACAATTATTACATCCTCCGACCGGACCTAGAGGAACGTCCGATCGGAGGCCAAATCGCGCCAAAAAACGAGAAATGCCGAGCAAATACCGAGCAATACAAAACAATAATGAGGAATACCATCACATGAAGACCCAATACCGAGTTATACCGAGATATACCGAGTTATACAAAAATTGTATCGAGTTTTTCCTAAGAAAAACTCAGTACAACTCGGTATTGTTCCGTATAACTCGGTATTGGCCTTCACAAAGCGGTATTCCTCGTTATTATCAAATAATACCTAGCAATACCAAGCAAATACCGAGTTTTTTGACGGGATTTTGCCTCCGACCGGACGTTCCTCTATGTCCTTACACCGGACCTAATAAAAGTTCCAACTTAAGACATCTCGAATGAGGACAAATTGCTGAACCGACAGCCCCGGGCCCTTGATTTACACTCCCCCCAACACATTAAATACTGGTAGTATTTGAACCACACCTGATTAGTTCTGAGTTATTTCCTGAATATTGTACATTGCAACCAGTATTTTCAGGTTCTTCGTAAAGTATAATCTATTAGTTGTTTCTTTCCAACTATTATTTCCCAATTTCATTGCAAAATATATTAATAAGCGTGGTACATTGACTGGAATTACTAGCATCTCTACCAATGTGGAAATTAACGGTAAATAAAAGATAGCCACCAATAATACTAAAAAATTCAGAATCATACCTTGTTAGCATACCTTGATGAGTCGGTGCTTGGAATTTATCAAATAAATTTCCATTATGGCTGAATATTCAGAAGGTGATCGCTTGAAATACTTGCATCAGCTTTTACAGAGCTCATTTTCAAATAATGCTGAATTATCTAAGCTTTTCTTTTTGGACTTTAAAAGATCTTGTTCCCATATTTTCCAAGCCTTCCTGACTTCGTCTAACTCTTCATCAGAAATAGCCACGCCATTTTCCAAGTTCTGTATCCATTCTGTCCACGGCAAATTTTTTGGATCTATGAATTTCGACAATTGAGGAAGCAAAACTGATTGATAGAACTCTTCAACGCCCTTCTGGATTTCTTCTGATTCTGCCATCTTTATCATTTCAGGACGACTATTTCCTGGACGCTTTCTAGAAGAAAACCGGTTATTTTGAAGAATGAGAACTTCAGAGGGAGCAATGGGGAGAATGATGCGTGCAAACTTTGCTAGAGACAAATCTATAATATCTCGAGGAAGTAAACTTTGCTTTACTGCAACTGCAGTTCCAACCATTTTTCGGATCTGTAAAAATAAAAAAGGAGAGCTAATATATTATGAACAAGTGAAAAAAAATCATTAATAGAATTTTCAGTATTTCAAAAACTAAGGAAAGCATACAAATCAAAATGCAGCCAAGGACGTCCCAACAATCGCCTCAACTCCAAGCCCACAAAATTAGCACTTGAGAATACTTTATCATTATTTTCCCCATTCCCACAAGTTAGACAATTACTTGACTATATGTTTCTGATCAAATGATTGAGAGGATTATATAAATTCCGTGGTAGTGAATAACAGCAGTTAAAAAAAAAAGAAAAAAAATCTTCAAAGGGAATCTGCGTCTAAATCCAAACTAACCATATTCATGCTAAAAAAGAGTCGGGGATTCTTTCAATGCGCGGTGACATAGATTATGCCGAAGTATGAATCTATCCACAAGCTAAAAACAGATATAAAAACAAACATAAAAAACGTTGAATATGTAAGATAACAAGGTGGAAATAAGTATATCCTTCTATGATACAAATTGTTAAAATAAGAACAAAAGAACCAGTTTGGATTTCAAAAAATAAGTGCTTTCAAAAAGTACGGAAATGTAGTGTCAAGTGCTTACTTGATGCAACATGAAAGATTCTCCATGAATTGACACTTCAACATAATTCAGTCCATATAATGTCTCCAACTTTCCACACGAGCATCTAAATATTTTTCTAAAATGCGATGAACTCAATCTGTCCATCTCATCAGGTTTATAAAGCCATCTAGCTTTTAAAGCAGGATTACTAATCGGGCTTCTCACGTCAATTCTTCCAGGTTCATAACAGTCACAATCATCCTCACCAAGGTCAACATTGTCTGAAATATCTTGTTGTTCTGCAGACTCACAATCAGTTTCCTGAATTAGCAAATCCAATTTAGCTTCAGGTGACCATGTTTGCCTGTTTTTATTGTGTTTTCCAGGAAGAGGTTTCCGATATTTGGACCGATATGTAAAATTATGATAAGGATGTTCCCCCTGCAGGGATGAAACAACAGTAGAGATAGTGAGTTTATCAGTCTTGACAATAGAAAGGCAGGTTAAACTTGCTTATTTAACAAGATTGCCTGAGCACCATAGACCATTTGAATTCATTAATTTATTTATAATGTTTTAATTAAGAGATAATTACATATGGCCAGCAGTATCAATTTCATAATAATTCACTAATCACAGTCAAAATTAATGCAGAGGAAATTCAAACGATATGACAAAAAGAAAGTTACTAGAGTTCAGTCAATTTATAGCTCACAATGCTTAAAGCATGCAGTAACATTCTCCACCATTTCCTAAAGCATCATAAGTTGTTTCATACCCATGATCGTCTTCTCAGGTGTTTTAGCAAGTAGCGACCAAGATCATGATGATGGTCATCCCTCTCAGGAGCCCTCAAAGAACTCGCCCAAAATCAAAGAGGAATTCAGCCAAGGAAAATGACGGGCGTCACTCCCCCACATCTGCCAGACAGATCGCCTTATGCTGGGTGATTAGGAAATTCATATGCACAAATACCACTGCTTTCCTTTAATGATTAGGCGACCTCGAGCTCCCTACACCATTCGTCGACCAGATCAAACAGCTCTTCATCTACGAGTTGATCCCCTTTCGGGACTCCGCCCTATGCCTACTTGCCCATCCTAAACATGCCCGACACAGACAACTCACCGAACAATTCACATTACCCTTCTGCAAACAACCAAGAGACAGCAAGTGTCCTAGAATAGTGTGCAATATTATATGGACATTTTATGTAGTATGTATTTTTATTTTTTTCTATATAGCCTTTCATGTAACCCTCAAAACCCTATAAAACAAGAAAGAGAGAGAGAGGATGATACAAACCAAGAGCTCACACGTTCGGTATTTCTTTGCCTTTCTCCGAAGTACTTCACACATGAACTCAACTCACCAAAAGAAGAGAAGCATAAAAACCAGAAATTTCATATCAAAATATTCATCATCCTTACAAGAGAACAATGGACCATATATATAGGCACCAAAACATTAAAGGAATAAAAGACAAGAAGGCCCTTGGCCAAACAACACAAAAGCTTCCTCAAGAGGGTAAAAGTATAATAAAATAAATAACACCACATAAATCTCCTATAACATATGAAAACTAAAAATATAAAGACTCAATCAAGGCCGTAGATCTCCAGCATCTACGGTGATAAACCCTTCAAGCTCTGATGTCCCCATCATTCTCCCAGAGTGGGAGAAAACTCGACCCTATTGAGTCAACTGTATGTGAACTCTCGTATCGCTCCAACACATCCGGGTCGATCCTCTGCACTCCTCACACTCAAGCCATGTATCTTCGATCTCTGACTTATCCTTCCACCTAACCAAATATCTTCTTCTTCCTTCATCCTTAGTAGAAATAATTTCATCATTCAAAACTATATCAATTTTATCAGCTTGGGGTGAATTGGGTAATTTGGATAGTGGAGGTAGGCTAGGGAGCTCACTGGGTGGGTTCACACAAGGCTCAACAAATGAGTTGGGTGGGTTAAAATCAAGTCCCTCATAGGCGATTAGATCCTCTATATTAAAGGAGGGACTTATGCCAAGATCTTAAGGAAGGTCCACCACAAAAGCATTGTCATTAATTTTCTTCACCACTCTAAAAGGACCAGCACTCTTAGCATGTAGTTTCCTAATAATCCCTTTTAGGAACTATTCCGGACGAATCCGAACCATCACATAATCACCTACTCCAAAAGTTCTGAATCACTTCTTAATGTCAACCTGAAGTTTGTAAGTTACATTGCTTTGATTTATCCTAGTTAAAATCTCTTTATGCAAATCATGCAAATGAGATGCAAATGATGATACAGAATCACTAACTCTAGACCTAGGGCTCATGGGAATCAAATATATAGGTTGCCTAGGTTTGAAACCATAGACTATCTCAGCTGGACTCAGACCCGTCAGACAGTTCATCGAGTTATTGTAGACAAATTCAGCAATAGGAAGTTTGGAATTCCAATCTCTAACATGCTCACCAACTAGGGTCCTCAAAAGATTTCCTAAACTGCTATTGACCAGTTCAGTTTGGCCATCAGTCAGAGAGTGAAAAGCTGTGGAGAATTGAAGTTTTGTACTCATTTTCAGCCATAAGGTTTTCCAGAAATAACTTGTGAATTTAACATCCCTATGAGACACGACGGTTTTGGGTAACCCATGTAGTCTACCACCTCATTGAAATAAAGCTTAGCAACAACTGAGGCATCAGATGTCCTAGAATAAGGTAAGAAGTGAGCCATCTTAGAGAATCTGTCAACTACAACAAATGACATCATTCCTACGAATAGTCTTTGGCAGGCCTACGATAAAATCGATACTGACATCCTGCCAAGGACAACTAGGGACGGGTAAAGTTGTATACATGCCAGTGTTTTGATTCCTTTGCTTGGCTAGTTGGCAGGTGTGACACCTACTGACTAACCTAGCAATATCTCTCTACAGGCTAGGTTAGAAGAAACAATACTCAACATCCTCTATGGTCTTATCACGGCCAAAGTAGCCAACAAGACCCCGCATGATGCTCCCAAACCAAAAATTCCCCAAGGGATGTGCACGGGATGCAAAGCTTCTGGGATCTAAATAGATACCCATCCTCAATGTGATAATCATTAAAAATGTACTTAGGGCCTGAGGAGAGAATGGAGTAAATCTCCTTAAAGTTAGGACACTCTAAATATTCTTCCTTTAACTACTCAAATACAGTGACTTTTGCCCTCATCTCGACAGTAGTCATCATACGACGACTAAGAGCATCAGCAGCTTTGTTCTCAACTTCAACCTTATGCCTAAGAGTACAGGTGTATTCTTGGAGGAATTCAACCCATCTGCCATGGCAGGCATTTAGCTTATTCCGGGAGTTTATGTAACGAAGATCTTCATGATCAGAGAAGATGATGAACTCTTGCAGGATCAAATAGTGTCGCCAATATCTCAGGGACTGAACCACAACATAAACTCCTTGTCATATGTGGAGTATCGCTGGCAAATTTCATTCAATTTCTAACTAAAATATGCCACAGGATGACCCTCTTGGGATTGGACCCCTCCAATACCAACTCCCGAAGCATCACATGACACTTCAAAGACTTTGAAAAAGTCAGGAAGTCTCAACACAGAGGCTTCAAACATCTTGTTTGATCTCATCAAAAGCTCTGGTGGCAGCCACAGACCACTGAAATTCTCCTTTCTTCAGACAATCAATGATGAGGGAGACAATGGAGCTGAAGTTCCTAATGAACCTTATGTAAAAAGTAGCTAAGCCATGGAAGCTCCCAACTTCTTGAATGTTCCTGGGAACAAGCCATTCAGCTATGGCTTTCACCTTCTTGGGGTCAGCAAAGACCACATGGGCTGAAACTATGAAGCCCAAAAACACAACTTGGTCAGTGAGGAAGATGCACTTCTTAGGATTATCATATAACTATTCTTTCCTCAGAACCTCAAATACCTAGCTGAGATGGTCTAAGTGCTGGTCTACAAAGCAACTATAGATAAGAATGACATTGAAATAGACGACAAGAAACTTACCCAAGAAGGGTTTCATCACCTGGGTCATGATTCTCATGAAAGTACTCGGGGCATTACTCAACCCTAATGGCATGACCAACCACTCATAGAAATAATCCTTAATCTTGAAAGCTGTCTTCCACTCATCCCCAAGACGAATCCTAATCTGGTGGTATCCACTCTTAAGATCGATTTTGAGAATAGAGTGGCTCCAGACATCATATCCAACATGTTATCTAGTTTAGGGATAGAGAAACGATACTTGACAGTGATTTTGTTGATAGAACAGCTATCAACACACATCATCCATGTACCATCCTTCTTGGGGGTAAGAAGGGATGGTACAGCACAAAGACTCAGACTCTCCTTATTGAAACCCCATTGTAGAAGTTCATCCACCTGTCTCTTGAGCTCAGCATGCTCAGTGGGATTCATACGGTAATGAGGCTAATTAGGGAGGGAAGCATCAGGGACAAGGTCAATGGCATGTTGTATATCCCTCAAAGGAGGCAACTGGTTAGGAAGGTCCTTAGAAAAAATATCAGAAAAGTCCAGAAGGATGGGCTGGACCTCCTGAGGAATGGGCCTCTCATGCTCCTCAGCAACCTCACGACCCACTAAAGCATAAAGGGGTGCACTTTGGGCTACATAGGAATCAATAATCTTGGTAGATACTAGGTTGAGCCCTTTACTAGATTTCATATGATTGGATTTAGGTTCATCCTTAAACTTTGGCTGACTAGGCAAGAGCTTGATCTCCTTGCCACCATGTTCAAAGACATTGTTATCAAAAAGCCAGGGGCGGCCCAAGATAACGTGACCCACATCCATAACGAGGATATCACACCAAACATTCTCTTTATAATCAGAAAAGGAGATGGGTATGAGGCTTCGTTCCCTCACCTTCAAGGCATTAAAGTTGACCCAAGCTACCTGGACTGGGTGGGAACAATAGAAAAGGCAAGGCGGGTCACCAAGCTAAAGGAGAGAGCATTGATGCAACTGCCACTATCAATGATGAGTTCGCAATTTTTATCTTTCAATTTGGTGTAGGTGTGAAAAATGGAAGTACTACGCTAGTCATCAACAAATCGAGGGTGTGACAGTGCACATCTCACCACACATAGGGGTGTGGGGTCCCATTTCTAGATGCCACGAATGACATCAGTATCATCCTCATCCTCATCAAAGAATTCACCATCAACATCTATTTGGTGAATGAGGTTAGCCGCAGGCTCAAGGTCTTCCATAGACACTTCTTCAATAATGGAGACCTTATAAGGGCTAAAGCACTGCGTGGCGATATGGCCATATCCATGGCACCTGAAGCACTTAGTCCCAGGGTGGGATTTAGGTGACTCCACCATGGGAGACTTGCCCTTCAGATTAGGCCGAGTCTAGGGTGTGTTAGAAGGTAGTCGATTGGGATGGCTAGGAGTCAGTCTAGGAGAAGAAACATGTAGTGTTGATCCACCAGGAGGCCTAAATGGGGGTCTAGACTCATTGTGACGAACAATGTGGTTTGGTCTAGATTCTTCCAGATCCAAGACTATGTTATAGTCACTCTCTAGGTGGTGATGTTTCTGGCAAATAATTCGTTGCGGACATCTTCGTGCAACCCTGCACAAAACATGGATAGGATCTGTGCATGAGTAGTGGTGGTCTCTCCACTGCAACGTATCATAAAGTCATCAAATGCTACAATATAGTCTTTTACCAATTTATAACCCTGGGTTAACCTGTTCCATCTATCCAAAAATCTCGAGAAATATGATGGTGGGAGGTATTTCTGCCTCAGTTCCCGCTTCATAGTTCTCCAATCAGTGACAGGATATACACCTCGAGATTACCTAAGATTTTCTAAATTAGTCTAATATTGACTAGCTCTCCCAATAAACTTCATTTTAGTAAATCTAACTTTTCGCTCCTCGGAAATATTATACCACTTAAAAAAATTATCCATACCCTTGATCCAACCCAGAAAGAGCTGGGGATCCAGGTTGCCATTAAATGTGGGAGCATCAACCCTAATATTTTTCAGCAAAGGAACATCAGGATCATGCATGGGATCATAACCATGGGGATGCTCACGATATGGTCGACCAACTGGGGCAGGGTGGTGTCCACGTGGGTGTCCACCATGTGCTGGGGTACTCCCTGGCCGAAAATAGGGTTATGACTAGGAGGGGGGTTTGGTCATACCTAGGTTGTTGTAGAGGAGAGGGGACATGGGGATATCCATCATTGGGGTTCAAGTCATCACCAACCATTGAAGAAATTTTACACGGAGTGTAAAGTGAAAGCATACTTCTTGCCCTATCTGGATTGTCAAACCTTTCTATAGTAAGGCGATGGAATTTGGTCGAATCGGCTTGGTTCTCCCTAACAACCTGAGTTAGGGCACCAATTTGACCAACTAAAATGTCTAAGGTCTGCTGAATTTGTTCTGGGTCCATGGGGAATACACTAGGTGACACTCTAGATGTTAAAGGAAAGTAGACAACACCTAGACTTCGCAAACAAAATGACACACAAGTAAAGGCCAATGATATGTTGGTGCAAAATGCAATTAGAGGCAAAAATGAAGGTAAATAAGATGGATCATAGCACATGCAACTAGGGTTACCATGCTCTGATACCAAATGATGTAGGATTAAGCGAAATAAGTCATACAATTAGAGATTTATGCAAAGATAACATCAAAGACAACAAATTAAACTTCATAGAATATTAAGAACAATAAGAAAATTTAAACTATTAAATCATGTGATAGCAAAAAACTAACAAGTAAAGGCTAAATATTAAAAATAGGTGAATCAATTTAGACTAGCTAACATGGATTGGCACAAGTTCAACATTTAATTAAAGGGCTAGTCACTAGAGTTTCTGATCACTCAAATTTAAGTAGGGTTTGGCGGATTAATCAACACATATGAGATGATGCTACTAAAGATGAAATGAGAAAACCAATATTTATTTAGATGAAGAACAAGGGGAGGGTTTGATACTTAGCTCATGAATGCGAGGAATGGAGTCCTTGATGAAATATCGGCAAGTTCCACCTTGGCTTGCCTTTGAAACCCTTGCTCTCTGTTGAATCGATGTCCTTGTTGCTTTAGAAGAAGCTAGGTTTCCTTGGAAAGGTAGAATAGTGAGGGGAAAAGAAAGATTCAGCTATATGAGGATATGGAAGTGGAGAAGTCAGATTGGGAGGTGAAGAGGTGGGGTTGGTTGCTTGGGAAAGAGAGAGGGTTGATGTGGCTTGCTTGGGAAGGGAATTAGTTGGCTTGAGATAGAGAAAAGTTAGCTTGAAAAAAGGAGAGGGCTGATGTGGCTTGCTAGGGAAGGGGACTAGTTGTATTGGGAAAGGGAAAAGTCAACACGAGAAAGAGAAAATTAAAGTGGATGTGAATCTCCAAAGGTCACAATTAATTGAGATAAATGCTCAATTAATGTGAATTAAATGCAGAATTTTGGAAGCTCAAGGGTCAAGGATGTTCGGGAGAAGGTGGAAATGGTTAGAGAGGAAGGGAAGGGGGTGGCGGCTGGTTGAGGACAGCAGTTTGCTGCTCCAAAGGTTGCAATTAATTGAAATAAATACCCAACAATGTTTGGGCGGCTAGAGAAGAATAAAACAAGAGAGAGAGAGAGAGAGAGAAGATACAAACCAAGAGCTTACACTTGTTGGGTATTTCTTTGCCTTTTCCCAAAGGACTTCACACACAAACTCAACTCACCAAGAGAAGAGAAGCATAAAAATTAGAATTTTTATATCAAAATATTCATCATCCTTACAAGAGAACAATGAGCCATATATATAGGCACCAAAATATGAAAGGAATAAAAGACAAGAAGACCCTTGACCAAACAACACAAAAGCTCCCTCAAGAGATGGTAAAACTATAATAAAATAAATAACACTACATAAATCTCCTACAACATATGAAAACTAAAAATATAAAGACTCAATCAAAGTCGTACATCTCCGAACTCTACGGTGATAAACCCTCCAAGCTCTGATATCCCCATCATAGATGAATATGAAAAAACTAATATATTTCTAACATTCTATAAAATCAAAGCAATAGGATTGACTATGATGGCTATGCATCCAGTAAAATGATGTATCAAGAAGACTAAGTATTTTTTGTATTTAAGTGAACATGCTTAATTTAAGAACATAAAGCAGATAGCTTCATAAAAAGCTAGAAGAATATGCCAGTGTGTTTATATAATTGGGCTGAGTTTATTTCAGGTATCAGGATTACAAAAAGTCCCATCTATTAAAAAAAAAAAATCTAACCCTAGTATATAACTTGCCTCAAAACTTTTGAGTATATCATTGAAGTCTGACAAGTGTTCCTCAATCTCATTAGAGCAGCACCCATTTTTTATCCCAATAATTTCAGCAGGAAGCATATAAGAGTACATCCGGAAATTGCATTCTCTTCTTGCATCAAAACTCCTGAAAAAAAGTATAAAAGATTAAAAGCAACTCAAGAAAAGTACCATTGACCTGAAATCACTGTTTTTGAAAGTGCACTAAAGCAAATGGTACAGAAGCTCCAAGAAGCGCTTAGCGTCTTCCAATGACATTGGGCAAATAAAACAAGTGCAGAAGTGCTTCGGTGTGGAAAGAACGCTATAAACTGTCCCATGTGAAAGCATCAGTCATACAACCTTCAAATTGTTTCCTATTTTGTGGTAAATTTCTTTGCTTAATTTCTTTATTTTAATGTTCCCATGAAGCTTACATGGTTCTTCATGAACCGTCCAAACCGGCCCCACCTGGGTCGGTTCAGGTCTATAGGAGGCAGGCTAAGCCGCCTCCTTAAAACAGTCGCTCGCCCAAGCTTGTGGGCCCTAGGGCGGAAATTAGAGAGAGGGAAGGGGCTAGCACAAAGAGAAACTATTTTGAATTAATGTATTTTAGGAAGCTTTTTATTGGTCTTTTAATAGGAAGATTTGTATTTAAAGAAGAAGAAAGGCTAGGGTTAGGGCATGCATACTTTGAGTTGTTCTCTTGGAGTTTTCCTTAGCGTCTTGAGCTCTAGATCCATCATCTAGAGATTGTGAGAGAACGATCGTCCTCTCAAATTGAGGATCAATTGTATCTTGCTTTGTGTTTGCTTAGCTCTGATTCAATTATTACAATCTACTGTTTTGGATTGATTTCATCTAGATTTTCGCATTATTTTCGTTGTTTTTACCAATTATTGTTAGGGTTGCTTGAGAACTCAAGTATTTCCTCTTGGATTACTTGCAAACTCGAGTATTTCTTATCAAATAGGTATCAGAGCGTTCTCTTGGGACCATCGGCAGCTGAAATTCTAAAATTTCAGTGGAGAAATTTCATTCGGAATAAGTTATTCTCGTAAATATTGGGTAGAAATATGGCAGGGAAGAAGGTTGAAGTTTTGAAAGGAGAAATTGGGAAACTTAAATCAAATTTGGAGGGAAAATTTACTGACTTTCAAAATCAGATTTCATCCAATAATAAAAGGATGGAAGGAAAGTTCGTCGTGACGGAAGAGATGTTAAAGAAATTGTTAGAAGTGAAGACCAATCAGGCGACATCGGAAACAAGGGAAACCATCGGCGGCCATGGAAGAGGAGAAAACCCTAACATGTTTAGGGGAAGGGAAAACCCGGAAGTGGAGATTTTGGAGGGTGAAGACGGAATGCTTCCTCTAGAACAACTTTCTAAAGAGAAGATGAGCACTGGTTTCGAAAGAAGGGTTGCTGATTTTGTAGGGAGAACGGAGGATTTTTACTGCAAAGGTGCTGAATTTGAAAGAAGAATAGGAGAATTCGATGAAGGGGTCGGGTATGATCGTCGGAGGGAAGATCGTGACAGCTGGGAAGCACCTCCTCTTCACGGAATGTGACGATATGGAGGATTAAAGGGCAATGGGGATGACCCGAATGTGAGGAAGCTGAAGATGCCCATCTTTGAGGGCGAGGATGGCCATTGTTGAATCTACAAGGTGAAACGATATTTCACCAACAACGGGTTGACGGAGAAAGAGAAGCTGACAGCAACAGAACTGTGTTTGGAGGGGAAGGCACTGGCATGGTACCAATGGCGTGACATGAGGCAACCCATCAAAAGCTGGAGGGAGTTCAAAAAGTGCTTACTAGAATGTTTCCAAACTGGTAGGGGATGAGACTTTCATAAACAATTCTTTGTCTTGACACGGGAGGGGACCGTGGCAGATTATCGTGACAGGTTCGAGTACTTGGCCAGCATATTAGACCGGCTCTCTGAGACAGTGCTGGAGGGGAATTTTATGAAAGGACTTAAACCGGAGATATGAACAACAGTTAGGATGATGAGGCCAAGAGACTTGGGGGAGGCCGTGGAGCTAGCCCAGTTGGTGGAGGATCTCAGAAAAGCAAACTACGAAAAAAAAGGTAAGGCTAAAGAGCGGTCTGAACAAACCGGGAGGAACAACGTTCAAAGTATGCATGCGTCTAACACCTAGCCTTTGCGGTGGGGTCTCGAATCTTTATAGGAAGACCACTACTCCTCTTTACTTAGCACCCAAAATACCAAATTCCTGGTTAACTGCTAGGGAGTCTGAAGAAAGTGCCCAAGGATAGAGCTAGAGGGGAAAATTTCAAAAGGTTGACTGAGAATGAGATACAGGAGAAGAGGGCAAAGGGGTTGTCTTTTAGATGTGATGAGAAGTACATGCCAGGGCATAGGTGTAAGGACCAAACTCTTCAGGTTCTCACCGTCTGTGATGACGAGGAAGCTGAAGAGAGAGATGAGAGCGGGTTAGAGATGGAGGAAGAGGAAAAGATGCATTTGGATGTGGCAGAAGTCTCCATAAACTCAGTGGTGTCCAAATCACACTGTGAAGTGAAGGGAGAGATAGCTGATAGAAAGGTAGTGGTGTTGATAGATAGTGGTGCAACCCACAATTTCATCTCCTCCCAAATTGTGGATCTGTTGGGGGTAATATAAGTAGATACAGGAGGTTACGGGGTGATAATGGGCACAAAAAAGGTGAAAATGGGTAGAGGAGTTTGTAGGGGAGTGGTGTTGACCATTTAGAGGATACACGTAAGGAAGAATTTTCTTCCCTTGGAATTGGGAGCACTGATGTCATCCTGGGAATGAAGTGACTGCAAACCTTGGAAGATACCAAGGTAAATTAGGGAACCCTGAGAATGGAACTGGTGGTAGGGGGGAAGAAAAAGGTGATTCAAGGTGATGCAGGAATGTCAAGGACTGGGATATCTCTCAAGTCTTTAACCAGGACCATAGAGGAGGTGGGTGGAGGATATTTGGTGGAGCTGCACAGTTTGGAGAGAGCTAGATTGAAGAAGGGATGGGACATACCCCTCTCCATACAGCCGATGATTTAGTAATTCCATGAGGTGTTTCAGCCACCTCAAGGATTGCCACCACCGAGGGAGCAGGAGCATGCCATCACCTTGAGGGAAGGGGTGTCACCCATCAGTGTCAGGCCCTACCGATATACTCAATTAAGAAGGATAAGATTGAAAAGCTGATTCGTGAGATGGTGGAGGCGGGGATCATCAGGCCGAGTGTGATTCATTTCTCTAGTCTAGTCCTACTGGTCAAGAAGAAGAATGGGGACTGGCAGTTTTGTGTGGACTACAAAGCTTTGAACAATGGGATAATGCCGAATAAGTTCCCTATTCCTATTGATTGATGAGCTCTTGGATGAACTGTATGGAGCAGTGATGTTCTCAAAGCTGTATTTGAAGTCGGGATACTATCAGATCGGAATGAGGGAGGCAAACATCTCAAAGATAGTTTTTAGGACAAACAAGGGGCATTATGAGTTCCTGGTAATGTCGTTTGGTCTTACCAACACCCCTGCTATTTTCCAATTGCTGATGAACAAGGTGTTCAGGCAATCCGGAAGTTTGTTCTAGCATTTTTTGATGACATACTGGTGTACAGCAAAACTGAGAAGAAGCATCTGGAGCACTTGAAGATAGTCTTGGGAGTTCTACAGGAACATCTGTTGAGGGCCAACCTGAAGAAGTATTGTTTTGCCCAGACCAGTGTGGAGTATTTGGGTCATATTGTGTCCAAAGAAGGGGTGGCAGCCAATCAGTCAAAGATTGAGGCTATGCTAAGGTGGCCCTTACCTAAGAATCTGATGGAGTTGAGAGTATTCTTAGGACTGACGGGCTACTACAGGAGGTTTGTAAAAATGTACAGTATTATAGCATGGTCACTGATAGAGCAGCTGAAGAAAGATAAGTTCTTATGGAGAGAGGCGGCCACAACAGCATTTAAGAGACTAAAGAAGACTATGACTATTGTACTAGCCTTAGCTTTACCATACTTCACTAAAACCGTTATAATAGAGACAAATGCTTCAGGGTACGGACTGGGAGTAGTACTCATGCAAAAAATCCTCAAACCATTGCCTACTTCAGCCAGGTGTTGACAGCCAGAGTCAGACTGAAATCAGTCTATGAGAGGGAGTTGATGGCCATCATCCTAGCCATCTAGAAGTGGCGACCGTACATGTTAGATAGGTTAGGTAGGCATTTCATTGTCAGAACTGACTAGACGAGCGAGAAGTACTTGTTGGAGCAGCAGATGGTGACTGAGGAGCATCAGTGGTGGCTGTCCAAATTGTTGGGACATGATTTTAAAATTTGGTACAGGCCAGGAGTGGAGAACAAGGCAACAAATGCTTTGCCCAGATGTAGGGGGAGCTGTAGACAGTGGCAATATCGGTTCCTTTGATGTTAGACTGGGAGGCCATCAAGGAGAGTGCTAGGGATGAGTTGGGAAAGATTAGGATAGATTTACTGAGGGAAGGGTGTAACCACCCAAGGTACTCCTTGGAGGGGGATAGGCTATTATATTAGAGGAGGTTTGTGATGCCCTAGACCTCAATCCACATTCCAAACTTACTCCAAGAGTTCCATGGGAGCGTTGTTGGAGGTCATTCAGGGGTGCAGACGACATACATGAGGTTAGCCCCAGAGCTGTATTGGAAGGAGATGCACAGAGATGTGGAGAAGATGGTGGCCAGGTGTGAAGTCTGTCAGAGGAACAAATATATGGCTATGTCGCCAGAAGGACTACTACAGTCGTTGGATTTACCAGGATGAGTATGGGAAGAGATATCCATGAACTTTATAAATTGGTTGTCACGTTCAGAAGGATTTATGATGATTGGTGGTGGAAAAATTGAGCAAGTGTGCTCATTTCATTCCCCTCCGACATCCATACACCGCAGTAACAGTGGCTTCAGCTTTCATTAGAGAGGTGGTCAGATTGCATGGAATACCAGAGGAGATAGTATCAGATAGAGATAAGGTGTTCCTCAGCCACTTTTGGAGGGAGATGTTCAGATTACATGGGACATTTCTGAAGAGGAGCACCGCATACCACCCACAAATGGATGGTCAAACAGAAGTGGTCAACATGAGCTTGTTGACCTACCTGAAATGCTTTGTATCGGAGACACCCATGTTATGGGCCAAGTGGCTATCATGGGCAGAGTACTGGTACAACACTTCTCATCATTCATCTTCTCAAAATGACCCCATTCAAGGTGTTGTACAGAAGGAATCCTCCTCACTTTGTGCACTTTGGGAGTAGCAGTACTTTAGTTTCTTTAATGGATGAGTACTTGGAGAGAGGAATAGAGTGTTAGAGGAGTTGAAGAGATATCTACTGAGAGCACAACAGATTATGAAGAAACAAGCTGATGGGCATGGAAAGACATCCAGTTTGAAGTAGGAGAGAGAGTGTTCTTGAAGCTCCGACCATACAGACAGAAGATAGTCTTAATATGACCCAAAATAAAATTTACATCACCAGAATATTAAACATAAAGTCTACAAGGATTTTCCTATTCCTTAACTAATTAGATTCACGTAGAGTCTTTCTATCCTCGATTAGCAATTAAAATAGCTATGAAGAAGCAGAATTGCATGCAAGGTAAAAATGTTTCAAAATGTCACAAGAATATTCAATTATATCGTAGGAAGACTCAACTTTAGAAAAGAAACATAGATGCAATAAAATTGAAATTTTACTTTTGCTTCGAGATAGAAAACTGATCATATATAAGAAATGGAAGGTAAATTATCAAATAGTAACTAGAAAAAAAAAATCATAATTTACAAGCTTTCTTCCAAATACAGCATAAAGTAGTTGCTTCTATTCAACATAGCTTGAAATTTCATTATTTATATTGATGCATGATGTCTACATTTAATTAAAGTAATCCAACAAGGTTATCTCACCATTGGGATGGTAAAATGCTGAAAACCTTGATATTACTTGGCAGATGATAGTTCACATAACTTGCAAGTAGAGTTCCATTAGGGTCATTCTTCCAAGCATCCTCTGGAATCTCCATCTTCAATGTAATGATAGTTGCCAGGGAATGGACCTGCGAAAGGAGGATTTGCAAAAAGGAAAAAATAAAAGAGTGAAGGTAAGCAAATGAGAAATAATGGCTTGAAAAGTTAGCCTCAATGGGTATCAGTATTGTATTGCATAGTTTTATTTTTCCACGCTGACTAAACCTTTTTTTTTTTCTTCATTTTTAGTAAAGGGTGGTGTAGATAAAATAGATATATTTTCCTAGCATTGTCATGAAAAATAAGAAAATTTAAATCATTCATCAAGGAATCATGACCAATGAAATAAAGCAAGGTAACCATTAGACCTTACACCTTTGTCAGTCCGACTACTCCGGGCCCACTTAATTTTTTGCAAGTCCCCATAATTACTATCACGGATGCCTCCAGCCTTATAGATGGCAGATTCTAACTCTGCTTCAATTGCTACAAGATATAAAACATTTAGGAAATCACACCCATGCTCAACTGATGAATAGCATTTAAAAATTTCTAACATTTAATTAATTAAACCAGGATATAAAAGTAATCAAGCATCAATCATAGGTAGCAAAATTATGAAACATAAATAAAATTGGGCATATAAAATCAAGAATTCATTAAAAGCCGACCAAATCATTATCGCAATGATATATATCTATTGACCTCATGAACTCAAGAGATTCATGTGTGACTCACTATTGATTTGATAATAACAAATTTTGTGCAATGACTTCTAATGATTTCTTAAATATTTCGATAGAGTTTTCATATAATATCAACCATCGCAAAGATAACGAAATTCCTAGACTAGCATGAAGCTTTCATCACTTCTATTCCACTAGCTTGAAGCTTTAAGCCACTAGCCATTTCCTTCAATGTGCATTGCTTTGGAATAGAAGCCACATATATGGTCGATAGTTATTGATGAAAACACATATCTTTTTATTCTATTTTTGCTCTATTGATGGTTCTTATATTTAGGAAAAAAATTCGGCTTTGTATTTTCACATTTTAAGCATCTCTTGGGTTGAGATTTCCGCATCTGGAGCAGAAAGAATGTTTTTATATGTCCCGTTAAATCGTATATAGTGATTGAATTTGTTTTTCTTAAAAAGTAATGTAAAAGGCGAAGCACAAAAAAGTTCGTTATTTCAACGTGTAAAAACAAAACAATTATTTAATCAATTGAGGCTCATTCCACATATGGTTATGTATACTAATTATAAATATAGCTAAAAAAATCTATTGTATCAAATCAATTAAGTGCATAAAATTCAAGCTAAATTATTTAGCCAAATTGGAAAAAATATTACATTTCAGTTATATTATTTAGTCAAATTAGAAATAATACTACTTTTGCCCACTAAATGACATGGTGAATAAATTATATAAAAATAAAACACTTCAATATTTAAACTTAATAGTGAACAATATCATTACTACAAAAATATAAAATAAATACATAAATATTTTACAAGTTACAAATCATTATGAAATTATCAACTACGAAGAGAATGAATATATATATATATATATATATATATATGATGATTATATTATAGCTTTGTAGTGTTATTGATTCTCTCGTATAACTCAACAAGTCTACAACAGCGCTTCTACTCTCTCACCATATCTTAATTATCGATGTTGATCACAAAAGAGTTGAACAAAATCTCAAATAGAATCGTGTTTTATCAATCCTGAGCTAATATGATTCAATTGTCCCAAACAAGACTGGCTATCAGGAGATACTCGAATCAACAATCATAAGGCATCAATAAAAAATCTTTAGTGGATTCAAAATATCCATACAAGACCACAATAAATGGAAAGGACTTTGACCAACAAACCGAGAAATGCTTAATGCAAGCTCGATGGATTCGACCTCTCTGCAGGACTAAATTCTTTGAGAATATCTCTAACAAAGTTTTGTGATTACAACTATAACACCCCAAGATCAAATTTAGAGGACTTATCAGTTTTAACCTCTAATTAATCCACCAGAGCTTTCATTAACTCATTTATAAAAATCAGTTCAACAGAAGAAATTATAAATCATACACATCAAAATATAAAACTATATTTCTTTCTCAAAATTCATGTACAAAAGTCAAGAGATCAATCAATACATATTTTATCTTTCTTTCTAATCTAACTTTAAAAAAATAAAAATAAAAATACAAAAAAATAAAGCAAAATCTGAAACCCTGATCTTCCTCACGCCACTAGACTCTAACCTCTTCCTGATAAACATGTAAAATCATGAAGTGAGCTAACAGCTCAGTGGGTTAGTAGAACCGACCATTGCAATCAATGCAAGGTAATAGAAACAGTATACATGTAATCATTCAACCAACATCAGCATGATCATATAATTGCAAAAGTAAAAAAAAATAAAAATAAAAAAATAAAATAAATAAAATAAAATTATATATATATATATATATAAATTGCAAAAGCATGTAGTTGTCAATTTAAACAAAATCATATCTTATGACGAATAACAATCAAGGTGAACTATATAATAGATAGTGATCAGTAACCAATAGTTATATCAAAGATCAGTAGATTCTAACTTTTCTATAACTCTTAGTTACAAAATTGTTTATATATA